TATTATGCCCAATACTAATAACAAGTAGGTATATAAGTTAATTTATAATTATTGTGAGCGACAATCGTCGCGATAATAATACAATACATAGGCATAACGTATAAACAACCCACGAGCGATAAAAAAAAGAAGATAAATTGAACAAAATTGTTTTAATATAGCTCACGGACATAAATAAACGTAAGGCACTAAGAAATACATTAAGATTAAATACCTATGTGGCTATGTGGCTATGTTCGTTGAGTCAAGCAGTCTCGAGCGGTTCTAAGACTATGTATAATATTATACATATTTTATACTGTGAGTTATAACTATTTAAGTACGCCGGCGAAACAAAAATAGACCGGTCACTCGTACAGATAAATCGTAAATAGATCGTCGACAAGTCTGTGGAATAATGTCTAAATTACCAATTATTATTACTATTGTCGGTACTAATAAGGATACTCGTCCTACTCCTAGAGTAAACGTCCAGCAGTACTTAATATTTTTATTTTTATATCCAAACCAAAATATTGGGCGACCATATGTCATGGACCACGGTATTACATCGGCAACGATTAATGGCCCGGACGGGTAAAGCGACAAAACAAAATATGATGTAGTTATTGTAAATAGAACGAAGTATTATCGCTTACCGGTGGCCATTATATCGTGTCGGACGTTGCGCTATTTTCTTTACGATTTTCGACGACGAAGAGACGAAGGCGGATGAGCTATGTTGATCGGCGATAAACGGGAACACCACACACCGGCTACCTGGACAGTGGTCAGTGACTCGACTGATGCCTTCGGGCTGATCACTGATGTAGCACTGTAGCAGTGTTGGCAAGTACACCGCGACCCGCTCCGCCAGTCAGCTGCGGCAATGGTATTGTGGTACGCTATACATAGGCGGCGCATGGGCAGACGGGTGTTCGGCGGCGGCGGCGGCGGCGGCGTCAATGCGCATAGCCCCCCTGAACATCCACCCGGCACACATAGTACGTTTTGCAAGCCGCGGTATCCCCCTCACCGGGCTCGCTGCCGACGGGCGACGGCATACGCGGCCAGCCAACCATGGCCAGTCGGCCAACGCACGGATAGAGCAGCTCTACTATAATAGTGTAATATAAAAATCGACCTTGAAATTATTTATGGTTATCCATCTTCCGCTCGGCGACATCAGCAGCACCACCACCACGTCTACAGTCGAAGACACAAACGTCGTGAACCGTGTCTGCGTGTCCGTTGTCCTCTCAGATCTCACACAGTCACACATAAATAATAACAATACCTAATAATAGTACTACACAGACGACCTGCAGTATATAAATTTAAATGTATAATAAAATATATACCGGTAATCAGTATATTATTAAACTTTACTGTATTACTACTCAACGTTTAACTCGAACTACCACTCCTTTTTTCATCCATCGTGTCCAACGCCAGGCACCAATAATTATTAAGCTAACGAGCCACCAGGACGGCGATTAATGACAAACGGCCGTATTTTAGCCGGACAATTTTTAAACATAAACTTTATTTTTTTATTTTTGTTAAGATAATAATCGTTAAAGTCACTTTAATTTACTATTGTTAATTCAACTATTTATTATGTTAAACATATTCGTAGGTATCTATTTAAACAAAAGTTGCAGCGTAGTTATAAATTATACATAGCCACATAGGTAAAGGTAATAGAATTAAAACCTACACAAATGAGTACACATGTAAAAATGGCTAACTCGTAAAAAAAAAAATAATATATACCCAAAAATATCGATTATTTTCCGTGTTCAGTAGGTTAGTACCATCTGCTTGGTACAGCTCCGTGGGGGGTGGCCCGTAGATGAAATCGAAATCTAGAGGCTCCCTCACAAAACTTTCTCTGTTGTTTTTAGTTTGTCTAGCCATTAAATATCAAAGTTAAATGATAGACCATTTTCAACCTACTCAAAATATATTCTATTTCTTGAGTGTGGCTTTGGATTGTCTCTGATTTCTGTTCTTAAGTAATTTATAACCTTCCATTCCAAATGGCTTCTCATCAGTGGTGTGGAGTGGGTTGTGTAAGCATTATAAGCAGAAGTGAATACTAACTTATCCCCCCTAAAAATTATTGTTTTTATAATATCCTAAAATAAAAAAATAATAATATACTTATATTATCATATTATGATAAAAGGCAAATTAAAATATTTTACACTTCAAAAAAGTATTTGATGCTAAATTTAGCACCTATTATTTCTCTAGGCCTACGTTCAACTACTCTAAGTTCATTTTAAATTATCTTGATGCACGCTGTAGTGGACGGTGTATTAACTATTTGCTGGTAAACCCTCATGAGTTTAATATTAATTATAAACGTTGTATCGTACAAATCTTAATAAATTATTAATATGAAGATTACCTATTAAATAGATAAGCTTATTTAGTGTTCACAGTTCACTATTACCATAAACTATGAAGAATGTTAAAATGTGTAGAAAAAGTTTTCAAGTATCAATTATTGGATGATAAATCTTTATTAAAACTGGTCACACGTAATATACCAGCCACGACATCTCATCGGCCGCGGCACCTCATTGGCCACGACATCAGATCGGAAGTGGCTTATCCTTGTCAGCCACTGTATATCATTTGCCACGACTTCTCAATAGCCACGACATCTCATTTGCCGCAACATCTCATCGGCCTCGGCATCTCATTGGCCGTGGGCATCACATTGGCCACGACATCAGATCGGAAGTGGCTTATCCTTGTCAGCCACTGTATATCATTTGCCACGACTTCTCAATAGCCACGGCATATCATCGGCCGCGGTATCTCTTCGGCAGCGGCAAATCATCTGCCATGGCATTTTTTTCGGTGGGGGGGGGGGAGCTGATCAATTTTTTACACAGCGGTGGTTTAGTTTTTGATCGAATACCATAGACCATTAAAATAATTTTTAAATTTTATTACATTTCGGGGGGGGGGCTGCAGCCCCCTCAGCCCCCCTGGCTACGCCACTGAGATTAAAATGTTTAATTTTTATTATTTACTTTTGTTATTTTTCGTTGTGGTTGTCAAGTATTGTTAGTCATAAAACACACTAGGTACGCAGTATAGTGACTTATCTGGCCAGCTGCAAGTCTTATTCGTAAAGGTAAAAGCATTTTTGATTTTCTATCATTTTAGGCTCAATTAAAAAGCTTGAGAAATTAGCTAATACAAGATTTCACATAAAATGTTTTAAAATATTAAAAATACTCAAGCATGATTTTTGTTATGAAAGTCTTCAAGGTTTGTCAATTTTCTACTAAAAAATATGCACCTGTATTATTTTCAATTTTCAAAGGTAAGTAGAGTAACTACTATTACATGTTCGTTTATTGTTGATTTTAAATTATGGTTAATTGTAGGTATAGGTATTTGAAATTGTTAAAAAGTAGTCCGTTATAATATGTGCTAAATAACGTGTTCAAGCCCTAATTATATATTATATTTATACAGTGTCTTCACAAATTTAGGGGACACTGAATTTCTCATCCTGATTATTGGAATAAATGGTTTTTTCATTTAGAAGCTAGTGGTACATAAATACACACTTTAGATAAATTTCAAATTTTTAACTTCCCTAAAAATTGGTGAACACACTGTATATAATTATATTTACTTAAAATATTCCCAGTGTTACCATCGTATTGAACTTTTAGAGCTTCGGTATAATTAAATGGATTATGTGTTTATTATTATATAGGCTATACTATATAATAATATTACTATATATTTAATATTTTAATATTATAAACTAATCATCTGCACACGCGCCATGTGTTATCTACATTTCGTATTTTGTATATAGGTAGGTACTGTAAGTCTATAATGCTATTATGTGTATGGGTAGGTTATTTCTATAAAAATGCCGATGATACAATTTTCGGTAGGTCAAAAACCTTGAAAATATTTAATACAAGGTTCACTTGCTCATACTTTTTTTCATATATAAATTTAAAAATAGTGGGTAAGTTGGTAACGCTCTGCTATACAATTAGGTGACAAGGACAAGGTCTTAGAAAATATCTTTTAAAACCATAGTCTAGAGCAGGGGTCGGGAACCTTTTCGTGAGAAAGAGCCATTTTTTGAAAAATTACAAAACCATGATGTCCAGGGAGCCGCGCAGGTTTGAACAAGCTTTTTTTTAGTTGTAGTTGCTAGTATAGACAATATATTATAGAATATTAGAATAAAGATTATAGTATTATTATTTCATTGAAAAATTGGTAGGCACTTAAAACATAATGATACGTCTTAAATTTAGAAAATATAGTAAAACTTTATTTCATTAATTCATTATTATTGTTATTATTGGTTATACAAATAAAATATTATTTAATTAAATACAATAACACACAAAAAACGTATTTACTTAATATTAGTGAGATTTTTGACCTGGAAATCGTTATTAAGAAATTCTGAAATATTAACACTATAATATAACGCCGGTATAAATTATAATTATAATTTTACGGATCTCGATGTATTGATGAATTTCCAAAGAGCCACAGGTTGAATATTAAAGAGACACAGGTTCCCGGCCCTGGTCTAGAGAGTCGCTGAATCACCTGTAATATGGATGTGTAAAATTTGAATCCAATGATATAAAATCATTGTATACGAAATCGATAATTGATTATTATTCTGAGCGAAGACTGTCAGCATATAATATTACTAAGAAGGTACTAAGGTAGGTATGTATATTTTATAATATTATTGTAATTAAAGTAATTAAGGGGATCGGTGGCGGTGACGACTGTCTTTGTATAACACACGCGCAACATAAGAATTCAGAGGTGTTTTTTGGCAAACGTACCGATTGATAAAGTGAAGCGATAAGAATTCTGAAAACAGATTTGAATTTGTCGTCAAGTCTACTTGAGATCGGTCAGTCTACATTTTTGATTTTAGATTCTGAGTGAAACGAT